GTATTTTTTGTAGAATTTCAATTTTTATCTTCGTATATGAAGGATTTGGTTTATCCTAAATGTTAAAAACATAGGACGAATAAACGTTCTTTGATCCTTGTGTTTTCTTCCTATTTTCGGCACTTAAATAAAATCGTTCACATGTGACAAAAATTACGGAGGCACGTTTATGCCCCTTATACGTTGTCTCTGGGTCTTACAGAATTACATCCCAATATGGTAAGACAGAAGAATAATGTATTCTACACCTTACAAATATTATTATTTAAAAAATTCTTTATAAAGAGCAAAACACTTTATAGTTTACACATTCTAAAAGAATACCGAAATGAAGGACTCCTTCCAAACTTTCTCAAATTACAAAGGTAATTCGCACAACCACGACCAAAGAAATCAAAGAATTAACAACAACGCCGAAAAGAAAAATAATAGATGCTTAAACTTAACATTAAGTAAAAATACAGAAAACTAAGCCTCTTAATTCTAAATGTATTACACAACCAAGTGACTTAGTTGAGGTTTTGACAATAAAAAGATTTGGATCATTTCTGTGAAATTATTAACAAATACGTTTCAAAATATGACAAACAGTAAAAGAAAAAGTGAATTACTGAAAACCAAACAGAACCATAAATCCACCAAGAGATAGAAATAATCAATTTATCCAACGCAACATTTAATGGGGCTCAAATTGCGTGTTAGACAAAAGTTAATTTCGCCATATTTCCCTATCAATTATCTATCACCGATATACAAATAGGTTTTGAATACCTAATTAGATAAGTAATCCTGAAATATAATTATTTGCAAGATAACAACTAAAAAGGACAGTAAGATACTTGAATAACGGAGGCCTAAGTGAAAAGTTAAACTATAGCAAACAGTGAGGAACCCGAATTCAAACTCCCAAAAACTGTTCAAAGTAAATTCTCGTCTAAACTAAAATAGAGTCCATAAAAACATTCTTTGAAGGATTTTCTAACAAAGAAAAAAAAACTACAGAAAGAGCAGTACACAAGTCAACAGTGTGATAATAGAAGAACATTGTAACTACCTTATATGGTTTGCTAATGGTGCATAAAACACAATTAAAAATTCGTTTCATAATGTTCACGTATTCAGTTTTCAACTACAACCATGACATCTTCCTTGCCTGGATAATTCGACAATAAAACGCCTTTCAAAACATAATCAAAAACATACCTTATTTTCTTAAGTCATAAAACTAAAATGATAAGCTTCGATATATAAATATGTATATACAAATTCCTCGAGAAGAAGCATTCAAACGAGTTACTGAAAATAATATCAATGATATTAAACGATGAATTACCACAACCTCTTTAAATTTAGTAGTAATATTTGACCTAACAACAACGTTTTGCTTTCAGTTCAATGACACAGCTTAATGCCAAATTGATATTCTGTATGGACAAAAATGTCTAATTCGTTAGCCAGTATTCCTAATTCAGATAGACAGGAAGGCCTTTAATACAGTCATGCATACTCCTGCACATTAGATGATGTACGATATAAATACTACACTTTATGAGTTTCGCATTTTTATATTTGTAAATAATTATTGCCACCTAAGTTAAAATATTTATAACTCAACACGTGCACTGCCGAGAAGAACCATTACACTTTGAATTGGTAATTGGTTTTAATCATACAGATCAATGATGGCCCCAGCTCCTAGTTTTAATTGCTTAAAACAAAATTTGCACTGTAAAGCTTATTACGATATTAAAAGATATTTCAATGATTTCTTCTCAGCTGCACCATCAAACTACTAATTAAAACATCCCTAAAAATTTCAGTTGCAATTTAAACAATATCAGAAATGACAATTGTATTATTTAATATTCGAAATAAAACCATTGAGGGAGATGCACAAATAATGATATTTGCAATCGATGTGTTCGAAGGAAAACGGAGTTTGATTATAAACAAGATTACGACACTTATGATAAACAACATTGTTTATTGACAAAAACGTTTATCCATGTCCCCTTTTTGTCAGTAAACAATGTTGTTTATCATAAGTGCCGTAATCTTGTTTATAATGAGATTTGAATTACAAGCTATACTATGCTTGTATTCAATATAATAACAATGATGTTTAAAAATATATTGTTCACTTGATAATGTCTAAAGAATAGGTTAAACAATTGCCAAGTTTTTTTATTTATATTTAAAAAGTTTGCGATTGTTTAACCTATTCTTTAATTTCGTTATCTTTGTCGCCTACGTGGTTAACTATATATTTTATTTAATATTACAAAATGATAAAAACCTTATAACCCGAGCGCTTTCGAAAAGTGGACCTTTCGTCTTCAGGGGCAAACTCATTTAATAATGCATGACTACAACTTCTTCCGTATAACTTACATTTATTCTACAACTTGCTCATTCAGGCTATTTAGAAACAGTTATTTCTAACACCCAACTGTAAATAACATCGAGAAACTTGTAAACGTAAGTTAAGAAACCGGTTATAGTTTACCTAGTTGAACTTTTAACATCCAAAGTATAAAGATGTGCGTTTTTTTAATTTAGATTATTTCATTACTCCGTGAAAAAAAAAACACTTACGACATGACTGGTGTTCATCATCTTCATCCTCGCAGTCTTTCTGATAATCACACACCCATCTTCGAGGTATACAATGACCGTTGCTACAACGGAAGCTGTCTGGTGAGCAGGTCAGCTCTTCTAAAATATTTATATTAAAAGTATTTCAATATAAAACTATAGTAATACTGTCCGAAATACGTTTTTGTTTGGTGGTTTCAATGTTATTAGTAACAAAATAATAACAAAACTTATTTTTAATTACAAGATCTTTCCTGTAACTGAATTGCACAAATGTATACAAACTCATTGCTTTATCCGAAAATTGAATGTAATTTAATACATCATAAATATCAATACACTTTATACAAAGTTCATAATAATAAAATCGAAATACCTTTTTTGAAAGAATGGTAACATCAATAATGATACAAAGACAACAACAACGCAATTTATAGTTTTCGGTCTCAACGAAAAATGACATAATCAGAACTGATCTACAGAAATCAACTGTACTGCCAACCAGAAGTAAATTCTACTATTATAGTACATAGCATTAGCGCTTTTCGAAAAAAAGTTTTTAAAAATAGTTTTTTTTTTTTTTTAAATCAACACTGGCATTAAAAGTGAGCTAAACTAGTTAAGTCTCTTGAAAAGTGGGTAATCAAAACTATATGATATCCGTTTAGATATCGTGACAACCATACATTATAGACAGTATGACATTTAGAACCTTAGCTATCATTTTAAGTAAGCCTATTTATATAAACTACGAGATTCGTTAATCTTTTCTTCAGGACAACAAAGATTAATGCCCGCCATACTGTTTCACAAAATTTGTTTTTATCATACTCAAGGTGTGCAAATAAGCATTCCCCAGCGGATCCGCGAAATGTTACGAACTTTACAACACTAAAATCCGAGGTTCGATTCCTCCCGTGTGGTCAGAGCACAGACAACCTAGTGTGTAGCTCTGCGATAAAACAAACAGGCCACTAAAAATAATTGTATTATTGTTTCTGTTCCAAACGTCAATCTTCACGAGCGTGAGCTTTCTTTACTACATTACTTCGTTGCCAACTGTCTTTTTTTTTTGTCTTTATTGTATTTTATTTCGCTATTATGGGTATTATCTTTCTTACCAAGTACCGTTATTGGAGAGACAAGCTGCTACACTTTTCGTCAAGCGCTTAGGAGCAAATATATTTAATAAATCCGTGGATAAAAGCCAGCTGGAAATGTTTCGTCGTAATAATAACGGGAAAAACCGTGGTTGAGAATACAGACGCTTACACATTATACATTTGTGGCATTTCCTATAAAGAAAAGATCTTCAACACATCTCACACTTATGGGTATAAAATACGATAAAAAAAATAAAACTTTATTACATGTAACAAAGTATCATAACTAAATCGTTTACTATAACTGGTAATACAGTAAACAAGTAAATGAGAAATGACCCAGAGTGGACGTTATACATAAACTGTCTGTACATGCATGAATAATAATTACTAAGGATGCACGAGTACCCGGCCAGGTATTGGGCTAATCGGTAATACTCGGCTCTGGCCGAGTGTCGAAGTTAGGCATCTAAGCCCTAACCTTTGTGCCAACTAACGACGTACTGAAAGTTAATAAATAATTAGTTTTAGTTTAAAAACAAAAAAAGTGTTCCGAGCAACAAAGACTGACCGACCGCTGAAAGTCGGGGATTCAGAGTAAAAATAGGCATGGCTTGAGAAGTGGATTTCTGGGGAAGGTGGGTTTTTGAGAACAATAGGGGTTAGGGTTTGAGAAGTTGTGGCTAGGTATTGAAAGTTGAAAGTAAAATTTGAATGTTCTGATGGTGATTATTGGGTTAAATGTAATAACCGTTAATTCTTTTTGTTTCTGTTTCTAATTTGTGTGTATATTTTTTCTTGGGGGGGGGGGGACCTCGATCCCGGTTGACACCCGGCCCCAGCCGAAGCTTAGTGACCGGGTACCCGGACCCGGTATTCGACCAAATTTTATTACCCATGCATCCCTATTAATTACGAAACAAATTTGTAAGGTCTCAATTTCTACGGAAATGGTAAGCCAATCTCGGTATACAATGACAAACTTTAGCGAAGTCCCTCACAGTAATGAAACATAAGTTATTTATATATCTTATATGTCAACACGTTATATTTTACTTAAAATAACTTGCTTAAAATACAAATAGCTCACAAACTATTGATTCCATTAATTGTTAATAGGCGATTAAATCAGCATTATAAAAACAATAATGAATTTAATATTGCAATACATAACGGATAATGTCTGTGGTAATATCACCAAAGTGCGTTGGGGATACCCTATCTATCAGACAAAATCCAAACGCCGATGTCAATCTAATCAGCCGTCATGGAAAATCATAAAAAAAATCAAATAAGAGTACGAAGCTGAATGCTTACACAACGTCTCAGCTTCTACTGCCTTTCACTGTCTATAACCAGTTGTGGGAAGGCAGTTACCCTTAAATTTCTTAAAGTAGAAATGAAGCCACCCTAATATTTCTACTAATTAAACTCCCAACCTCCACCCTTACAATAAAAAAAAAGATATATTGAATACAACTAAACAGAACTATAAGATATTGAACAGAACTATAATATACTGAATAGAACTACACAGAACTATAAGATACTGAATAGAACTACACAGAACTATAAGATATTGGATAGAACTAATACCATATCTTAAAAGTTCTAACTCCTAACCTCATCCCTTTCTCTTGAAGCCTTATTCAAGTATAACACGAGAACGCCAAGATAAGCCTAGTTATACTAAATAAAATCACTTGAAAAATTGCTATTAGCTACTTATAAGCTAAAGTAACTACCTACCTCTATGTTTTTTTTTTAATAAGATATTTTTCTTAATCCATAATTTAGTTTCTAAAATATATTTGTATTTATTAAAAAATAAAGTAAGGTATTTCTATAATTGCCTGTCTTTATAGCCGTTATATTTCAGTTTATTTTTTAATAATGAAACATTATCCGTAAAAAAATTATAGTTATTACGGATTATTAAGAGCCGTTTTAGTTGAGATATAATAATACCTTTTAACATGATACACGGAATAACACTATTAGGTATGGGTAGACCAAGAATGGGAAAATTAAATTATCTTCTTTCATAAGTCAATCGCACTGTTCCTTCTGTAAAAGTAATGTCCATATCTAAATAATTAGATATTAATATATATACACACACGTACATACATATAGTATTCACATTAGACTATGATATTTGAACACCGTCATGTTTGATATGTAATTAAAATTAGTAATTTAAGACTTATATTTAATGAAAATTATATTTGCAAGTACTAAACAGCCACTGTTATAAGAAGTTTTTTTTTAATACAAGTTACAGCTTTTACAGTAAGGAAGACTATTTTTTTAAACAGGTACGGCGTTTCGATCTTTTTCTCAAGTACTTAATAATGATCGCACTAGCAATCGAAACGTCATACTTGTTTAAGAAAAAAATTCTTCCTTATATGAATCATCTCCAAGATTCGAAGAGAATGCGATTTATATGCTTCTGAACTTGAAAAGCACATTTTCACTTCCTGGAACAAAAAATTGCGGGGGGGGGGGGTACATGCGGTGGTATGATAGTGATGCAAATATGGCGGATGTGTATTCAATGTTCGAACGAGAATACTGGGGCGAGTACCATAATCTAAACTTGGTGCTGAATGATTCTGTTCAATATATATATTGGAACTTAAAAACTTGTATGATTTGCTTCAGAAACCGTGTTCTTTGGACACAATATTAGAAGGTGGATTTTACTGAAATCTAATTCTGCTACAACACTAAACAAATTATGTCCCACCAGATGGTGTTCAAGCCATGGTTGTCTGGTAGCCGTTATAGGTTTACGGGTAAAAAATTTATCAAAACTTGTATTTACAAGCGAAACATCTGTATTCGTTTAATGCCACGACATCTAGTGACTGGGGTATAATTAGGGAGCAAATTCACATAAGAATGTTAGTTTCCCCACCCCCACTTTATTAGGGTGCAAGTCAACCATGTGGTAGAGCTCTGGATTTAGGAGATGGCTAGCCGTGTTCGAATCCGTGACATATCGCACTTAAAGTTGCAGTTGCGTAATAAGAGTGACAGCCAATCTCCTAGCGTGGATGGTGTGTGGTAAGGTGGCTGGCTGGCTTCCCTCTAGTCATTAATTCAAAATTAAGGACAACTGTAAATAGCCAATACAAAATACTCACTTTATTAACAAGTTAAGCTGGTATTTACATGTATTAAGGTTTTCCATTAATACGTATTAGGAAACGTAACTTGGTATTTTAATAAGCCAAAAATTTCTAATTATTTTGGTTTATACCAACTTGTGTAACAACTTCTAAGGACTCTTTCACGAACATCACAGTACCTAATATTTAAAGTATTGCAAGTTTCTGGGCTGGATATTCATGTTTTTTCGCAGATACGAAGCTCTAATATAAATATACTTCTCCGACCCTGGGGCCCTAATAAGCATATTCTAGTTGAGATTAAGCTACTTAGGCTCTGGTAGTAAGTTGTATTTTGTGCCTGAATTTTGAGATTAAGTTACCTAGGCTCTGGTAGTAAGTTTTTTTTTTGATGTGTGTTTGAATCTTGAGATTAAGCTACCTAGGCTCTGGTAGTAAGTTGTTTTTTGTGCCTGAATCTTAAGATTAAACTGCTTAGGCTCTGGTAGTAAGTTGTTTTTTTTGTGCCTGAATCTTGAGATTAAGTTACCTAGGCTCTGGTAGTAAGTTGTTGTTTTGCGCGTGTGTGTGTGTGTGTGTGTGTGTGTGTGTGTGTGTGTGTGTTTAAATCTTGAGATTAAGCTACCTAGGCTCTGGTGATATTACTTTATTAAAACCGCTTTCCTCTTCGTGAAACTTCTTGTAATGATAGTAACATTATCTCTACGATCTCAGAGAAGTACTTAAACTGCATCATTTCAGTCAAATCTTCATGTCTACAATTCAGAGAAGACGCTTAAGCCTTGGGGTGCTTTGATTTTATGGAGTTTTAATGTCGACTCATGATTACATACCAAAAGTCCAATCACCTTCGAAAATGTTTGCGACCTATCTTTGTTGA